CCCCCCCCCCCCGCATATAAACTCCATGTCACACACACTCATCTCCCCTATCTCTCCCCAGTATGAGATTTCCCCTCCCTCCACAAGCTGTATGTGTCAGGAGTTAGGCACCCCTGGGCCAGGTGCCAGGGTCATATGTACTATGGTGTGGATGGGCAGTGCTGTCCCAAGCACCCATGCCCAGTTCTGTCCCATGCCTGGAACCAGGGGCCTGTCTGTCTGTCCAGCTCAGCCTGGCACCCAGCCCTGTTCTGGCCAGTCTCCCTGGGACCCCCAGGATGTCAGGGTGTGAGGACTGCAGCGCGGTGCCTGCCTCGTGCCATACAGGGGAGCTAGACACACTGAAATAGAAGCCAACAGGGGGATGTCAACAGGGTGTCTCTGTCCCTTCTCACCCCATTGTGCTGGGTGGGGTGCTGGGAGTGTGAATCCTGGCACTAGTGCCCTGGGGTGTGGATCCCGGGGGGGGGAGACTGGGGGGGTGGAATCCTATTGCTGGGGGCCCGGGGGCATGGATCCCGGTGGGGGGGGGGGTGGTGTGTGTGTGTGTGTGAATCCTGGCACTAGTGTCCTGGGCGTGGATCCCAGTGGAGGGGTCTGGGGGTTGCTAGTGCCCTGGGGCAGTGGTTCTCAACCAGGGGTACACATACCCCTGGGGGTACATAGAGGTCATCCAGGGGGTACATCAATTCATCTAGATTTGTGTTCTCAACCTGGGGATGGTGGCCCTCAGGAGGGCTGCAAGTCAGGTTCAGTGGGTAACAAGTGCAGGACTGGTGTTAGGGGATAACAAACAGGGCAATTACTTGGGGCCCCGCAAAGGTACTTTCCATGCTTCAGCCCTGGGCGGTGGGGCTCAGGCTTCAGACAAGGCTGGCAAGTGAAAACCAGGCTCAAGTATCCCACTGAAATGTAAGTACAATATTTATATTCCAATCAGTTTATTTTATACTTATACGGTAAAAATGGGAAAGTAACAGTGAGCTGTGACACTTCTGTATTTTTATGTCTGATTGTGTAAGCAAGTAGTTTTGAACTGAGGTGAAACTTGGGGTACGCGAGACAAATCAGACTCCTGCAGGGGGTACAGTAGGAAAGGTTGAGAGCCACTGCCCTGGGGCACAGATCCCACAGAAGGAAGCTAAGGGTGGGAATCCTGGTGCTAGTGGATCCCCAGTTGGGGGTGGGAGCGGGGGTTGGGATTGTGAATCCCTGGTGCTAGGGTCCTGGGGTCCAGATCCCACTGGGAGTGCGAATCTGGCCACTAGTGCCCTGGGTGGAGCTGGAGGTTGAATCCTGGCACTGGATCCTGGGTGCTGGGGGTGGCTGGGACTGTGCATCCTGGTTGTAGTGCCCCGGATCCCACTAGGGGTAGCTGGCTGACTCTTCTACCCAGTGTTGCCCATGGCCCCTGGACGAGGCTGGGAGACGGTGTCCTTGCAACCAGGCCCTGGCAACGCAACGTCAGCATTGTGGGGGCCAAGGAAAACAGGAGCCACTCGCTCCAGCTCGGGATTTTCCACCTCCCAGGGCTGCCTGCCCAGCCTGGATACAAACCAGCCAGCTCCAGATACTGGCTGCAGAGCCCCCCTGCCAGGATCCTGCCCCCAGCCCCACCACAAACCAGCCACCCCAGATTCTGGCTGCAGAGACCCTCCACACAGACCCTGCCCCCCAGCCAGAGCCAGCGCTAGGCATAAGCAGACTAAGCAATTGCTTAGGGCCCTGAGCAGCTCAAGCCCCCCCCCCCTTCGGTTTTTATTATAAGAACTTGCCTGTTTTAGTATTGGGGGGGGTATTCCTGCCTAGGGCCCCCAGTGGGCTAGCACTGCCACTGCCCCCGGCCCTTGGCTCCTCCAGTCCAGAGGTGGATGGGACACTACTAGCCGTGCCCAGGTGATCCAGTGCATCCCATATGTGGGGGTCTCCCTCCCATTCAGTGTCACCCCTCACTCTGTTAAGAGGGCTGGGAGTCAGGGTCCCTCGATTCTATCCCAGGCTCAGGGAGGGGAGTAGGGTCTAGTGGTTAGAGCAGGAGGCTGAGAGCCTGGACTCCTGGGTTAATTTTCCAGTGGGGGGAGGGGAGTGGTCTGTGTCTAGTAGTTACCCTGTGTGTGGTGGTGGTGGGCTTGGAAGCCAGGAGCCTAAATTTAATCCCAGCCTGTAGGAGGGGAGTGGGGTCTAGTGGTTGGAGGTGGTGAATGCTGGGAGCCAGAACACCTGGTTTCTGTCCTCTGGTTCTGAGGGGAATGGGGTCTAGTTTGTGTGTGAGTAGATGGGGGTTGTGAGCTAAGACTCCTGGGTTCTAGCCTCTGCTCCGGGAAAGAAGTGGCTGTAGGGTCTAGTGGTTGAGGGTGCAGGAAGCCAGGACTCCTGGGTCCCCTTCCGTTCCCCACCATGCCTTGTCTCTCTGGGTGCCCTCAGTTCCTGGGCCCTTCGTCCCACAACTCGCGCCTCCGGATTTATCGCTGAAGTGGCTCCCGGCTCCGGGCAGCGAAGCGTTAACCCCCCTGCCTGCCCCGAGCCGAGCGAATCCGGAGTCACACCGGGATCGGGCCCGGGCTGCGGAGGGGAAATGACACGGCGCGCCGCTTCCTGGGGTGGGGGAGCCGCGGCCCCAGCGCTCGCTGCCTCCCTGGCGCTCACACGGCGAGTCGGGGCGCCAGGGGCGCATGGCCCGCGGCGCGATGGACCGGTGCTCGAACCACAGTCCCGCGGGTGAGTGCGGGGGGCCCGGCCAAGCTGCCAGCTCCGAGGCGCGGCTCCCCCGCGCTCCGGACCGCCAGGGGCCCGTGTTCCGCCCGGGGCCCGCTAGCGGATCGGGGGCTGGAGGAGGCGCTGTGCGGGTGGGAGCCGGGGGCCTGGCGGGGCGGGTTGGGGTGCATGGGGAGGGTGTGTGGCGTGCGTTATGTGGGGGTGCAAGGGGTCGGGGTGGGGATGCAGGTGTTTGGGGGTCCATGGGGTGTATTGTGGGGATGCAGGTGTTATGGGTCAGCCGGAGGGTGCTCTGTGTTTGCAGATGGGTGGGGGTATTGGCTGCATGCAGGGCACTCGGGGGTGTGTGGAAAGGGGGTGTACTTTGTGGGGGGGGTCTGTGTGGAGGAGAATGCACTGCCTGGGAAGGGTCTGGGGGCTCAGTTATTGGGGGGCACTGCGTGTGGAGGGGAGTGGTCTGGGTGGGTGTGTATAAGGAGGGTGCTGGGGTGTGCATAAGAAGGCAGGGGTTGTGTGTGTGGGGGGTGCATGTTGTGCTGGGGGGGAGTGGGAGGCTCTTCCTCCTAGGACAGAGTTTTAAATTCCTCTTTGGGGTCCCCATCTCTCTGATACTCCCCAATACCCCCAACCTGCCAACCCCCCCTGCCCTATTGCACCTTTCCCTCCACAGTGACTCAGCCTCACTAGCTGCCATGGCTTTATCCATTTCACAGATGGGGGAACTGAGGCCCAGAAAGATCCCTAGGGACACACACAGAGCTGGGAATAAACCCAAGAGTTTTGGTTCCTAGCGCCCCTCCAAGCCACAATACCCCACGTCCTGAAGCTGGGGATAGAACCTAGGCATCCTGGCTCCCAGTCCAGTCCCTTAACTGCAAAGTTGGCCTCCTTCCATCTCTGGACAGGCTGACATAGCATCTGCAGTGGGGCTGTGTGCCCCCTCTCTGCAGGATAGTTGGCTCCCCATAGCACCCCTGGTACCTACCCCCCCCCCATGGAAGTATCAGTGCTTCCTAACCAGGAGGAAGCCCAGCCAGAGCCAAGGCAACCCAGCCCAGAGACATGTGGGATGGGGGAAGAATGGAGAGGGGGATGTCAGGTCAATGGTCAGAACTAGGGGGTGCAGAGGAGGGAGTTCAGGTGGTGTCTGTCTGGTCCCCTACTCCAACTCTGCTGCTTTACAGGGCTCTCCTGCCATTGGACCACCAGGCTGGTGGGGCTCCTGGCCTGGGGCTGGCCTCGCCCCTCACTCTGAGTCCAAAGGTCCCTGCAGTGCTGGGTAGCATCCTGCACTGGGTCCAAAGGTCCCATCAGTCCTGGCGTCCTGCCCCACCTCCCACTGGCAGCTGCTCCCTCAACCCCACCCCGCTGCCCCTCCCTGTGTACAGAGGGCCAGGGAGTTGGGTCCTGACCGGGGGCTCTGTCTAGCCTGGGTGTGCCCATCAGGGGCACAGAAACTAACAGGCCCCTTTGTCGTCCCCCCCTCCAGCTCTAGCCAGTCCCTGCTGGGATTCATGTTGTAGCACAGATCCCATACCCACATGTGGGGGGGACGACTTACCCCCCCCCCCAGCCCAGCCGGATGTCCCAGTGGTGGTAGAAATAGGTGTGCTGGGGGTGCTAGAAGTAGTAATAACAAACACCAAATACCAGGTTTCCATTGTCAGCACCCCCACTATGAAAATTGTTCCAGCACCCTTGGGCAGTCCCCATGTCCAGGGAACAGAACCCCTAGGGGGCACGTCCCCAGTGGGGCAGGACCAGGGCTGAGGGCTGGGTTCAGGGGCTTTGTTGGCTGGGGTGGGGGATGTTGGATTCATAAACTCAGCCCCCCCCCAAATCCCATCTCCCCAGACCCAGCTTGTCCTACTGATGGCACCAAACCCAAGCTGGGCCCAGCCTAGGGGCCCACGTAGACAAATGTGCTGCTGGTGGAGGGAAGCCAGGAGATGGGAAAGCACCCAGCTCAGCCCCACACTCCTCCAGGCCTGCCCCCCACCAGCTCCAGGCCTATTCCCCAGGCCTGCCCCTGGACCCATCCCCCAAGCTGACCCCTTCTTCCCCCTCTCCCCACAAGTTTTGGGTCTATCCCCCAGGCCTGGCCCCTGCTCCCCATGGGCCTCTCTCCAGCCAGGTGGCAGCCGGAAGAGGTGGGGGTTTGGGTGGCTGAGCCCATCTGCCCCATGTCCCCAGTCAGAAGACTTCCACCGCAGCCGTGCTCAGTGCCCAGGCACAGCCCCCTGGCACTGCCCTCTTCTTCCCCCTCCCCCCACCCAGAGCAGGGAGGAAGCTGCCATGGGCCCAGAGATTGCAGAACTGAGCCGGATCAGAGTGCTGGGAGACCCCCAGGGCAGCAACCCCATTCCCCAGCACCCAGTCCTACATCTCCCCCTGCAGCTGGCAAGGGAGCACCAGGCCCTGAAGGGTTAATGCCAAGCTGAGCACCTCACCCAAAAATGTCACCCAACGTGTTTCCCTGGGGGTGGGTGGGGGGTGCGGCTTCCTGCGAGGAACTGCTAGAAAAAGCAGCTCTGTGGTTTAAGGCGCAGGATAGGCCAAGGATGCCTGGGTTCTAGCCTCAGCTCTGAGGGGGCTGGAGACTAGTGGTTAGAGCAAGGGAGGCTGGGAGCCAGAGCTCTTGGGTTCTAGCCCAGCTCTGGAAGGGAAATGGTGGGGTCCCATGGTGCCCAGCCCCTCCCGCTCTGGTGCTTGGCCAGTTGGCCTGCCCAACTCCTGTCTTTCCTGACCAGCATCTTGCCAGGCTGCTCCCTCCCCCCCCCCCTCCCCTCTCTGGCTGGGACTGGGCTGTCAGGCTGGTGCCTGGGGGAGTTGTAAATGCCATTGAGAAAGCAGCTTTGTGTTTGTCTGGGGCTGCAGCTCCCTGGGGACAAAGCAGGGCCTGTCCAGGGCTGGGGGCATGGGGCAGTGGGGGTGGATGTCATCAGCGCATCGTGCTGGAGTCTGCTCAGAGAGCTGCCCCAAGTGTGTGTATGTGGGGGGTACCCTCGGGGGCAGGATCCCATTCCCTCTGGCCCTGCACAGAGCCCCCAGCCCTTTTCAGCCTGGGCTTCCTGCTCCTCCTCAATCCTCCCTGTGGGGGCTCATCCACTGGGGCTGGCCTGGGTAGAAGTAGTGCTTTGGTCCTTGCCCCATCATGCAGCAGGGGGTGTCGGGGTGGGGAGCGGCCCCAGTGAACAGGCACTGTCCAGCCCCTTCTCCCTGGCATCAGCTTCCCTGTCTCTCGGGATTGGGTGTTAGGGGTCTTCGGGGCTCCATTTCATGTGAGGAGATTAGAGGAGGGAGGTTGGGAGCCAGGACTCCTGGGTTCTGTCCCTGCTCTGGGAGGGGCGTGGGGTCTAGTGGTTAGAGCAGGAGCTTGTGGGTCAGGACTCCTGGGTTTTATCCCCAGCTCTGGAAGGGGCATGGGGTCTAGCAAGTTAGAGCAGCAGGGGGCTGTGGGTCAGGACTCCTGGGTTCTGTCCCTGCTTTGGGAGGGGCGTGAGGTCTAGTGATTAGAGCGGGGGATCTGGTTTGGGGGCAGGAACCTGCTCAAGTGGCTGGAGCTAACGATTCTGATGCTGCCCCTGCTAGATGAGACCATCTCAGCCCTGCGCCCTGACCGGTTGGCCAGCCTGGAACTCCGGTTGCAGAGCCAGGAGGAGGAGCTGACGCTGGTGAAATCAGCACTGGCTGACGCGCTGCGGAGACTCAGCCTCTACGACCAGCAGATCCCACTCCTCACGCAGCAGCTACTGGCAGGTGGGATACAAAGGAACTGGAATAGAAGTCTAGCAGCGGGCGCTGCATGGAGCAGGGCAGGAGCGCTGGCTGTGGGCGGAGCTCTGGGTTATTCCAGCCCCAGGCTCTCCCAGAAGAGGGCTCTGTAGGGCACGGGGCAGGAGCAGTCGGGGCACTGTGGAGGGCAGCGTTAGAGTGATCTGGGGAATTGGGGTTTCCCATGGGGCTGACATTTCTCTGTCATTTCCCTGCAGTGAATGATGCCGTCCCAGACACCCGGCTGTTCTTGGATCCTTCGCTGGGCCATGGGGCATCCTGGATCCCACTGACTGCCAGCTGCAGGTATCACCCAGGTTGTGCCCCCACCCTGGTGCAGGGACCCCAGGGACTTCTGGCTCAGGGACAGGGAGGGGGCCAGAGCCATGAGGCAGGCACGACCCTGAGGTTCAGGATCAATACTGAGGGGGGAGGGAGTGCCAGGTTCTGGGGAGGGGACCCCAGGGCAAGACCCCCAGATGGGAGTGAAGAGGGGATGGGGGGCAGTGGGGGTATTTTGGGGAGACAGTAGGCAGAGGCCATGGGGTCAAGTCTGGGGGATTGGAGGGGTAAGAGGTTTTGGGGCGGGCAGTGTGGGCAGGTTGAGGGGGGTGAGGTGGGCACTTGAGGGGCCTCCCACCCCACGGGGCGTTCTCTCTGCCCATGCTGTGGTGCTTTGGTTCGCAGCCCAGTGCCTGCATCGGGAGTTGTGTGCCATGAGGAGTTGGGTGCAGGGAGCCCGCTGGGCGCCCCCATCAGCACCGGGACCCAGACTGACGAGTCGGCCCTGTTGGATGTGAAGTGGGGCTGGAGCCCCAGCCACAGGACCCCGCCAGGGATCGGGGTCAAGGCAGAAGAGCCAAACGCCCTGGGGATGCCTCACAGTCCACTAGGCCTGGCCCAGCCAGCCTCAGCCCCCGACATACTGGGAGCAGGGCCTTCCCAGGACTCCTCCGAGCCTCCCCACGACTGTGAAGCAGCTGCCCCACTCCAGGGCAGTGCAAATGGCAGCCAGCCCTCTGAGAGTCAGCTCCATAGGGAGGAGATGCTATCCCCGGAGCCCCCATCCGAGGGGAGCAGCAGCAACAGTGCCACGGCCTCCCCGGTGCCAGCGGTCCATGCCTTGAAAGGCACCAGGAAAGAGCTGTGAGTGGGGGACAGAGGGGGCACCAGGATACCTGGGCTCTATTGTCAGCTCTGGGAGGGGAGTGGTGTCTAATGGTTAGAGCAGAGGTGTGGCAGCCAGGGCTCTGGGTGGGGATTGGGGTCTAGTGGGTGAGTGTGTGTTTACGGGGGCCAGAAGGTGGAGGGTGAAGGAAGCTGTCTGGGAACCAGGATTCCTGGGCTCTGTTTCCAGTTGATGTGCCCAGCCGCATCCCCCAGTGCAGCCTGAACTGTGGGGCTGGTAAAATCAGACTCTGTCTGTGTCTTAGGCCCCCCACACAGGGGAGCCAGGGTGGGGAGATCCCCAGGGGGAATCGCTGAACAAAGGGCCCCATTCTCCCCTTTGCCTGAGATGGGGTGTGAGTGGATTGATGTGGAAAAAGGGAGTTCATGTGGGGGTGCCCCTGCCTTGGGGAGCTGGGGGGTGGCTCATGCTGACCCCCCCCCGGTGCATGTAGTTAACCCTTTGCTGACCACTCCCTCTTCCCCCAGCCTGCGCAGGAACAGCTCCTCCGACAAGCCTGACAAGGCCAAGGCCCGGCAGCGCCTTAGCAAGAAGGCAGCATCCTCCGCCAACCTGCTCACGCGCTCCAGCAGCCTGGAGAAGTAGGGACACTCCAACCCCCCCACCCCACCCCGAACCAGTGCCCCGTGCTGGGAACAGCCCCCCACTCCCTGCGGTGATCCCAGCTGGGAACAGCCCTCCCCATGCACACCCTGCCCCCCACGGTGATCCCTCTGGGAACAGCCCCCTCCCCTGCACACCCTGTCCCCCACAGCGATCCCTGCTGGGAACAGCCCCCCCTCCGCACACCCTGTCCCCCACAGCGATCCCTGCTGGGAACAGCCCCCCACTCCCTGTGGTGACCCCTGCTGGGAACAGCCCTCCCCCCACATCCCCTGCCCTCCGCCGCGATCCCTGCTGGAACACCCCCACACACACGCACCCTGCTGCACAGAGCTCCCCCTGCTCCACTCCCCACAGTTAGAGCCAGAGCCCACTCCCTACAGCCCGCCCTGCTGATGCTCTGCTTTTCCCTTCCAGCCGGATGAAGGACCCTAACCTGAGCCCAGGTGAGCTGTGGGAAGCTGAGTTGTGGTTAGTGCCCGGGGGGTGTCATTTCACTGGTGCCAGGGCCCTGGGCAGTGTGGGGAGGGCATGTGGTGGTGGTGGGGGGAATTCAGCCCCTTGCCCTGGTCCTTGGTGCCGCCACACATGGTCCAAAATCTCCTGATGCTCCCTGTTTCCTTGCAGGGCCCTTGGGGTCTCGGCGTGGGACCTACAACCTTGGTGAGGCTACTGGGGCAGGCATTGGAGGCTGCCCTGGGTGGCTGGAGCCATGGGGGGATGGGACCCAGTGCATGTTTCTGATGGGGCTTGTGAGATGAGGTGCCTGCCGGGGGGCAAGCCCAGGGGATGGTGGTGTGGGAGGTCAGGTGTGTGTGGGACTGGTGAATGGGATGGAGTGGGGAGGGATTGGGTGGAGCCGGGGCGGGGGGGGGGGATGGCCTGGGAGTATGGTGCTCTGGGGGATGCGGTGGATGGGGTGGGTGGAGGTGGCAGGGGGTTGGATGGGGTGGGTGTTGGCAGGCTGCATGGGATGGGGCTGGGGGGGTGGCGCTGGCTGTGACCTGTCTCCCTCCCACCCCCGCTAACCCCCAGAGGGCCTCTCGATCAAGATGTTCCTGCGGGGCCGGCCCATCACCATGTACATTCCATCGGGCATCTCCCACTACGAGGAGCTGCGTGCGGAGCTGCCTGCTGAGCACCTGCAGCTCGACTGGGTGTATCCTTCAGCAGGGCAATACCCCCCTCCCTCAGCCCGCACCTGCCCTGCCCCAGGCAGCACTACTCCCCATAGAGCACTATGCCCCTTGCTCCCTCCAGAGGGCACTGTGTTCCCGCCCCCCACCAGGTGCACTGTGCCCCCCTTCCAGAGGGCGCTGTGCTCCCGGCCCCCGCCCCCTCCCACAGGGTGCACTGTGCCCCCCTCCAGAGAGTGCAGCACTCCCGCCCCCTCCCCCAGGGTGCACTGTGCTCCCAGCCCCCCCTGCAGTCCCACAGGGTGCGCTGTGACCCCCCCAGAGGGTGCTGTGCTCCCACCCAACCCTCACATCCCCTGAGGTGCGCTGTCCCCCTCTGTCTCCCCAGCCCTGGGGCTGGCTGGCTTGGCCCCCTTGCTCCCCTCTGTGCTCCTTGACGGACCTGCCCAGCTATGGGTACCGCGGCCGGGACAGCCGCTCCAATCTTTACGTGCTGGCCTCAGGGGAGCTGGTTTACTTCATCGCCTGTGTGGTGGTGCTGTACCACATCCAGCACCGCAGCCAGCGCCACTACCTGCGCCACACCGACTGTGTGCGATGGTGAGTGTACGGGGCAGCACCAACGGCGTGCGAGGGGGAGTGCATGGGGCAGCACCAACAGCGTGCGAGGGGGCAGCACTGACGGCATGCGAGGGGGAGTGCACGGGGCAGTACTGATGGTGTGCGAGGGGGCGTGTGGACTGATGGCCAGGGCCTGGGGGGCACTGACTGAAGGAGATGTGGAGTACATTGAGACACAGAGCAGCTGGGAAGCACCAACTACGACAGAGGGAGAGTACACGGTGGCATGGACTGAAGTGGAGGGCAAGGGCACAGGGGGCACTGACTGCGGCAAGGGCACGTAGGGGGGTCCCAGGCTAGTCTCCACCCTGGCTGTGGCCCCTGAGTTTTTGAGCCAATAACCCCCCTCCCCCCCGTCTCTCCCCTGCAGCCTGGCTGTGCATCCCGACAGAGTGCGCGTGGCCACAGGGCAGACTGCTGGAGTGGACAAGGATGGCAAGGTACCCACCGAGGGGGGACAGATCCTGCAGGGCTGTCCCAGAGCGGGATTTAGGGAAGTCCCACTGAGCCAGCTTCCTGGAAAGCCGGGTGAGAAACCCTGCCATGCCCTGGGCTCTGGCCCCACAGGGTGGGGAGAGCAGGGGTCCCAGTGCAGGAGGCCAGACCTACCGCAGGGTCCCTGTCCAGGAGGCCCTGTCTCCTGGACCTGCCCCCCCGGTCCCTGACACCCCCCAGCTCCTGTGTCTGTCCCTGTCCTGACCCATCTCCTCTCTTGCAGCCCCTGCAGCCCTTCGTGCACATCTGGGACTCCTCCACGCTGCTCACCCTGCAGCAGATTGGCCTGGGGAGCTTCGAGCGGGGCGTTGGCTCCCTTGCCTTCTCCACTGCTGTGAGTCCAAGCGCTAGCTCTGCCCCCCCTTGGCCTCACATCTCTCTGCCCTCCCTTTCTCCACCCCCAACTCAAATCCCTGCCCCATGCTGTCCCATTGCCCCACCCCAGCTTGGATCCTTCCTTGCCCCCTTGGGCTCTGGGGGCAGGACTCCCTCAGGACAGCCTGACAGGAGGTGAACCCGGCTGGAGTACCCCCAATTCCCCTCCCCTCCCAGTCCTTGTCAGCCCTGGCTGTGCTGGGGGCCTGGGCTGTGCAATGGGGGGGGAGGAGATGAATTTGTGTCCCGTATCCAGCCCCCACACATCCCCTGCATGTTCCCCATTCCCCCGTGTCCCCATATTCCTTCCTTGAGGAGCCCCAGTTGGCAACTGTCCTTCCCGGCTGCCATCTGCAGGACCAGGGGGCCTATCTGTGCGTGGTGGATGACTCCAATGAGCACATGCTGTCGGTGTGGGACTGTGCCCGCGGCACCAAGCAGGCCGAGATCAAGGTGAGTCAGGAGGCAGACCCCAGGGCTGCATAGCATTGCAGGAAACAGAACCCAGGAGTCCTGACTCCCAGCCCCCATCCCTGCTCCCACCCACTAGCTCCCACTCCCTTCCCAGAGTTGGGAAGAGAACCCAGGCGTCCGGGCTGCAGCCCCCATTCTCCTTCACTGGGTGACGCTGCAGTGTTGCTCCTGCTTTCTGGGTGCCGTCTCCATGGCACCTTGTACATATCTGGGAGCTGAGGTCATTGCGTTGCCCCCACCACCACGCAGGGACCCTAGGCTGGGCCAAGGGTCTGAGGCTGGGCTGTGATCGATCCCGCTCTCCTGGGGATGGAGCTAGCTGCAGGAGGAGGACTCCCCTGGGGTAGAGGTGCCCCCCAAAACTCAGCAAGAGACCCCCCCCCAGCCCCTGGGCATCTCCCTGCCCCTGGTGTCATCCACTGGTGGGAAAGGAGCAATGAGGGGTCTCCCCATCCCCACCCTTTGGGGGCCCCACACAGAATCCTGCTTGGCACCCACAATCCCTCCATGCCCCTGACCCTCCAGTTGCCCCCTGTCCTGCCATGCCCCCTCTCTCTCCTCTCCAGAGCACCAACGAGTCCGTGTTCACAGTGGAGTTCAACCCCCAGGACAGCAGCAACTTCATCACCAGCGGGAAATCCCATGTCTACTTCTGGACCTGGAGCGGCAGCACCCTGAGCAAGAAGCAGGGCATCTTCGGGGTGAGGAGCTGGGGGCTGGCTGGAGGGGGCAGTTCTCAGCCTGGCTGGGGAAGGGCTCTGGGCTCAGCCTGTGAGGGGCTGGGCCTGGCTGCCCCGTGAGCCCCCCCTCGATTCACTTCTCTCCCCCCCCCATTTCCAGAAGTACAAGAAGCCCAAATTCATCCAGTGCTTCCTGTTCGATGCCAACGGGGACGTGCTGACCGGGGACTCAGAGGGGAACATCCTGACCTGGGCGCGCACGGCCGCTGACATCCGCACGCTGGGCAAGGGCGCCAAAGGTATCAGGGGCGGGAGGCCTGCACAGACCCCTGGGCTGGGGGGCAGGGAC